TTTTTCAAAAAAATTTCGGCAGAGTTTCCCTTGTAATTGGGCCTATCCACCTGCCAGAGAATCACCAAAACCATCCTAGCAACACGGCCACAACTTGACAAGCATCACAATGTATATCAACATAAATCTCAATACTACATGTATTATATTATCAAAATTGATACATGGGCATGGGTTGCACCTATTCGAATCATAACACATAGAAGATACCTTTCGATCCTCCATTATTGGGATATTCAACCGAGTAAGAACATATTCTCTCCTTAATGTTTTCGACCTTCACGGTATTCTCCTCGACATAGATTTCGTCATAATACATTTACAGAAGCGATCTTAGCTCCCAGACTTATCTAACTAGTATAACAAATGGTTTCCCCTCATAAGCCAATTACCCATTAGCTTTACCTTTAGTTCGTGTTTTTGTATACCTTCCACTGTCATACACACTACACAGTACCAACATACTCATTACGTAGCTATCCAGCAGCCATTCCCACAATTTGGGACAATACTGAACATATAAGTTCATAACTCCAGCTNAATTTTATACAAAGTTATACAGCTGTTTATACATCTTTATACAAGTTCTGCTTATACTTATTTATATATTTTTATAAAATGTTTTTGTATAGTTTTGTTCCTGATCTATTTCTTGTATTTTTCTTATGCAAGGTTGGGGACTTCTATATACAACCAGTTGATTATTTCCACAACAGGATTAGCTCCCACACCGAGACTGAGATTGTGAGCATTTTGAAGCAATATTTGACTGACACACATCTTCAGATGTTCCGTGCTAGTTGTTTTGGGTACTTCTTGGACCTCCCTCAATTTAAAATTCTAATCAACTTATTCATTGTATATTATTGAGGGAAGTCGTCCCAGGACGTGAAAGGGAGTTGTGGGTGCAAATTAATGGTTGTTTGTTGCGTCTTGGCATTGGAGAGTTTGCTGTTATCACTGGTTTGAAGTGTGTAGACGATGACGCCACTTTCTATGACAAACCAGATGTTAATAGGTTGCTAAAAGAGTATTTTCCAGGAGATGGAAAAAAGGTTATAACTAGGGGGCAGCTTCTTGATCGCTTAAAGAAAAAGGACTGGAAGTCGGACGAAGATGCGTTCAAGATGGCCTTGATAGTGTTTGTCCATCATTTCATATTCTCATATGCCAATAATCATGGTATCATAAGATGATTTTGATATCATTGAAAGTGGTCAATATCAGACTTATGCTTGGGGAAAAAAGTCATTTGAAGATATTTTAAGGACAATGAGGGACAGACAGTGTGACTATTTGACAATGTATAGGCTTGGAGGTTTGCCACTTGCATTACAAGTATGGTTTTTTGAGTGTTGCTCTATTGTTGACAAGCATCTAGCTGTTCGCGTTGGAACAAATGTGCCACGCATTCTTAATTGGAAAGTGACTGAAACTCCAACATATGCGGATTTGACTGGCAGGGTGATCATGTGTAGTATCGATAAGGTAAACATTTTGTACCATAATACTTCTTCATATATGATTTCAGTTTTTCTGTATGTATATTTATGAATATGTTACAATTTCCTTTTTCTACCATTGTAATCCAGTTTTTTTTTCTTGTAGTTGAACTATAGGAACATTTCCCCTACTCGTGAAGAGCTGTCAACTCTGAACATCGACACGCTTTTTGAAGTTAATGCCGATGATGTTGCATCAGGAGATGTGCCTGTGGTGCCTGCCTTTCACACTGATGATTTTGTCGCTGCATCTCCACCTTGTCCTCAGAATATGGAGCAACAATCTAAACGACCTTATCCTCAGAATACGGAGCAGCAGTCTAAATGACCTTTTCCTCAGAATATGGATCAACAGCCTAACCCGAGTTATGATCCTTTGGTGCGCATTGATCTGTTGAATGCTGAAGTTGAGAAGTTGAGGAGTGATGTTGGAAAGGTACTGAACCTTTAGCTTTTCTGTAGTTTATCAGTACTTTTTGTATATACATGGTTTTTTGGTTATAAACATGGTTTTGTTGATTTGCTTTTGATTTTGTTTTTTTTCGTTGTAGTTGACTGATACAGTGACGACACTCAACAATTATGTAGTTTCTTCCTTTGAAAAAGTGTTCAGTTTTCTGAATATATGAAGGAAACCAAGCAAACGAGGGAGGATTTTACTGATTCTAAGGTAATTGTTTACTAATAAAACCAAATCACTCAATAGTTATGCCTTCTCTGAATCATCACTCAACAGTTATGCCTTATCTTTCTATTGTTTGTTATTATATTCATCAGCGCGTGTCTGATGACAATATATCTGGTCTTGGCGAATATGATGTTGTTCCTGACTTTGCCAATCAAGTGAATCAAGATGACGTGCTAGCTGACGAGGGAGTTACTGATGGTGTTGATCATGGTATTTGTTCTGCATTTTATCTTCTTCTTTTTTGTCTGATTTTTCTTTTCTTCATTATAAGGTTTTTTATTATTTGTTTTCTCTGTCTAAGGGGCAGCAGGTGATGTCAAGGGTGACACATTTTGGGATGACATTGGCGATGAAGATTTAGCTGCGCTACAGATGTCCCAAATTGTGCTTCACAAACAATCCATCATAGACGTAGAAGATGATTTCATTTCTCTTGAAAAGTCAGTTCGACAGAAAATACCAGGAAAATATGCCAAATCTCCATATTTGCCAGTTTTTGATTCGGGGGCATCAGGATCGGCGCCCAAGCTCATTTTTGATATCAAGCATCCTTTCACGATCGAAATTGATGATTTTGATCCATTGTCGCCATTGGCTAAAGAGTTTTGCGCGTTTGTTGATAATGGGATGGATACGAGGCGAAGGTATCTTCACTTTCTTTAATCTTTCATGTTCTGATTTTATACTTGTCAATGAATGTAGTTCTGATTACTTTTTATTTTTTGTGATTTGAAGTGCCAAAAATATATATCCCGATGAAGTAAATAAGCTTGCGGAAGCTTTTACTTTTGGCTCGTGTAATGTGACCACGAAGGATTGGTTCCACTCACTTGCATATTGTGGTCGACCTTTCATTGACACGGTATTTAATAAATTTATGTTCTAATGCCTTTTTTTATTTGTTGCATATCTTTATTATTTGAGACCCCCATAGTGTATACATAGCCTTGTATAATCACAATATAAGATTGTATAACATTGTATAAGATTGTATAACCTTGTATAAATATGTATACCTCTGTATAATAGTATATAAATTTCTATATTTAAAATATCTGGTAGTGATGGTTGTTCTGTTTTATTTCTTGTTTCAGCACTTGGATATCCTCTTTTATTATTTGAGGAAGAGGGGAAAATATGGGCCGAGTGTTGCTATGCGGTTTACTACAACCGACTTTGCCTTTGGTAACAAAATCAACTCCCTGTATAAAGTTTTCAAAGTGAATCAAGATCCTTCAGTGATTCCTGAAGGGCATGAGATAGAAGAGTACATTAGAGGATATTATTGTGATGCAAATGTCCCGTGGCACACTGTTGACCACGTCTTATTCCCTATCTATGTGAAGCGCGGAAGAGCAAAATTGGGCCATTGGGTTTTGGGGGTGTTTACCTTCATAGATAGGTGCATCCACATCTATGATTCTAATCGTGGATCTATTAATGATAGACTTGTTTTGGATGCTGCATTACCTTATGCAATTCTAATACCTTACTTCTTGAAGAGTTCTGATTTTTATGTCGAGAAGAAGGGCATTGATTGGAACAATGGTGCATATACCGATAAATTTCATTCTGATGCTTTGCAGATTAATCTGGTTAATAATGTTCCCTAACAGATCAAATGGCAGGTTAATCTCAATTGTTTTACTATTAGTTTACCTATTTGAATCTGATTTTTTTCTTTTTAATTACAGTGATTGTGGTGCTTTTGTTGCTGGCTTTGCTGAGTATTTCATCCTTGGTAAGGAAATTCGAAAAGATAATTTTGACATTGAGACACTTCGCACCAGATGGGGATCTCTGTTGTGGGATTATGGAAGGAAAAAACAACAGTCCGGTGCAATTAGTGGTGATGCAATTAGTCTGTTTTTTCCATTTTACTGTAGTTTTTCTATGTATCAGGAGTTGTTGCCTAGTTTTGTCTAAGTACTATTCTACTACTTGTGAGATAGCATTAAAGGATTTTATAGATGTTTTTATTTTTGTGTAATTTGCGGTAGTCATTACACATTGTGGCTGTGAATGAATTACATTTTAATGAATATATCAGTTGCTTTTGTCCTCTAACAAAGTATGTATTTTCATTATGGTTGCAGTTTTGTTGTTGTAGCAGGGTTTATACATATTTATACAAACTTATACTCTCATTTATACATCTGTATACATATAATACCAGCAGTTGTGTTTTGTATTTGTACAATGTATCAATATATTTAGCACCATTAAACAGCAACATACTATTATTGGATAATCAAAACATGTATAATGAAACATATTTAACACAATTGCAATATATAGCGTAAGTTGTAAATCTTTATTGACATTTGTAATTCAATTACTTCTGAGACTTAACTACTCAACATTTGTAACTCTATTCTTTGTGAAACTTAACTACTCAAAATGACAACAAATATAATAGGAAGTGTTATGTTTTCAACTAGCTATTTTGGTCGATTCCTATATGTTTTTCTATTGTGACCACCTTGTCCACACACAGAACATGAAAATGCCCTCTTAGACTCTTTTTCTGAATCAGGTTTGAGTCTTTCCTTTCTTGGCCTTCCTGCATTCCTTCTCCCTTTAGGTGGTAGGACCACATCTTCCATCACCTCTGTTGGGATTACCCATAGACTCTCATCTGGCATCGGATTCATTGAAAATTCATAAGTTCTAAGGAGTTTATCCTTCTTGTAGTAAAAAGAGCAATACTGGCCAGGTTTCAGTTGCTGGTTCTTTAAAACCGCCCAAGCATGCGGACATGGAAGTTCATCCATTTGAAATTTTCCACAACTGCATGTTCCCTCTTCAAGTCACACTATGTTTCGCCTTACCCCTTCAAACACAGTATATAACTTCTCCGTAGCAGGCCTCACCTGCAAAAGTTTTTTTTTTTTTTAAAAAGTGAAAGAACATTATACATTATTATACAGAGATATACATCCTTATACAAGCAGTAAAATGCAAGTCAGTAGTGCCAAGCATCATTATATTTGATTCAATTTACCGTCATTTGCTCCGATGCAATCAGATTTTCCCGAAGGAGTTTGTCGTACTTTTCCCCAAGCTCTGTAGATGTCTCCGTTGCACTTTTTCTATTTTTGTTGTTCCACTGTTGTAGCAAATTTGTCATGTACTCCAGCAATCGCATTACTGGTAACTCTCTAGCATCCTTGTTTGCTGCATTAATTGACTCTGCAATATTGGAAGTCATTACCATCGACCTTTTCACTTTGGAATATGCCCTAGACCACCTTTCGTATCCAATTTCGAACAAGTACGGTTGCACTCTCGGATCAATTTTGCACATCTCTGTCATATAGTACTCAAACTTCTCTACCGTGTAAGCTCTAGCCAAAGCAAAGAAGATATCCTTCAATTGTTTGTGATGTTTCTTGAATGTGCGCTTTACATTCTGCCACAAGTGAAACATACAAATACAATGTGGTACTTCTGGGTACATGGCTTTTGTGGCATTGAAGATGCTTTCATTTCTATCTGAAACTATACACATCCCTTCCCTATCTCCAAAAGTACCCTTTATCTGGACAAAGAACCACTCCCAAGATTTGTTATTCTCTGAATCTACAATTGCATATGCAAGTGGAAGGATTTTTCCTGTTTATACAAAATAGATATTAGGATTGACAATTATACAAATATTATACACAATTATACAAAATTATACAATTTTATACCAACTGCAAATTTTATAAAAACTGTAGCTGTGAAATCCTATACACTTTTATACATGAAACTACAACATTATACAAACTGTAGAAACAAGATAGATGCAGTCAACTCACCAGCTCCATCTAGTGTGCAAGCAATCAATATGGTACCCTTATGTGCTGCTTTAAGGAAACTTCCATCAACAACCATTATCGGTCTGCAATGCTCCCAGCCCTTGATAGATGCATATAGCGAAGCATATGCATAAAGAAAGCATCCATCTTCTGATTTGTGCAACTTTGTAACCGTTCCTGGATTTGTTTGCTCTAACATATAAAAATACTTCGGCAACTCCTTATATAAATCACTAGGACTCCCTCTTATCATAGCCATTGCTATCTCTTTAGCTCTCCATGCTTTCATGTAGCTCACCTCAATTCCGTGTTGCTTTTGTATGTCCTCTATTATATCATTTGCGGTGTAAACTTTTTTTGGATTAACATACTTGTCCTTGACTATACTAGCAATTACACCCGAAGTAGATTGACGTTGTGTTAAGTATCTTTCACCATAGCCGCATGTGTGATTATTATTATTGTAACTTCTCACTTTGAATATGTTTGCCTTGAAAACGGCAGAAGATTTGAAACTCCAAGCACAATTTTCACCCATACACATAAGGTGATACCTAGGATTAAATATCATTCAACTTCTAAATACACTTGTATACAAAAATATAACTACATATATACTAATTTTAATACCTATATACAAATATATACTACTTTATATATATTTATACATATATATAACAGAATATACAATTATTTACATACCTTGTTGCACTTGATCTCTTCACCTTGAATTGGAACCTTTCACATACAGCTAAGTTCTTCATCACACTGACAACTGTCTCTTTATCCTTATAAACTTGATCTTCCTCAACAAATTCGTTCAATATATCATCTATTATACCCGTGTTTTTACTAAATTTCGTATTTTCAATAAATTTGATATCAATAATCTCAGTGCTATCAATTGTTGATACATCTCTAGAATCTGAACTTGTACCAACCAAACAGCTGGAACTTGTAGCAACTACACAACTAGAACTTGTAGGAACCAACGATTTTCATATATCTCTTTCACTGTCACAAACAAAGGATATTCAGTGAAATTCAAGTTTTTCTTCTTTAATTCGATATACACCTTCACACCTGTATCGTTGTAAATCAGGATCGGCGGCAAACCAACATTTGGGAGAAAGTTAATCTCTATTGTGTTTAACTCACTTCGATCCTAATCTGTTCCGAAATAGCTGCAACTAAATTGTTGTAGGTGAATGTCGACTCGATTATTACACAATCGCTGACGAAATTTATAAACTTGTTTTCTTCCCATTCACCACTATGAAGAACGTAAACTAGAAAAATCTCAATCGAACAAAAAATGGAAATAAAAATTGAAGCAAAAACTAAAATTGCGCTGTTTTGCAGCAAACAAATTTTACTTTTCGTGTTTGATTTGTTGTTAATTCGAGATGAAGAAGAAATTCTAGGGTTTTTGGAGCTGCATTCATGGGAAGATCTCGTTTTTGAAGTATTTGGGGAAGAAGATTGGAAAGAATCTGAGAAAATGCAGAAAATCCCGCTTTTTACTCCCAAAAAAACGGAATTAACGCTCCTTTTTAAGATATGGGCCTATAATTTTTGGGCTACTCAATTGTAAATTGAAATATGGGCTATAAAGCTGAAAAGGAGGCAGCCCAATTGTTTTAATATGAAATTTTCCCTTTAAAAATCTGCACTATTTCCAAATATTGAAACCAATATATCTCCTTCAATATAAGGTCAAATGGAGTGATTCAAGAGCCTAACTTGACTAGAATTTCACAAGGAATCCATTGGAGGTATCAAAAGTGAGATTTGAGATCTTTTGGCACAAGAAACGAGGCAGAACAGTGTTAAACCAAGGGTTTTGTGCATTTAACATATTTTGAGTTGGGGAGCTCGGAATTGAGCAATTGTTTGAGGAGTTTTTAAGCATATGAATTGGGGTAAGTGTTCTCTACTCGATTTTGGTTATATTTCATGAATCTATCTTCGATTTTTGCTTTTGGTTGATGAATTTTAAAGAAGAAATTTGGGGTTTTGACCTAAAGTTTCATAATATGAATTTTTTAGTTTTGAACACCGAATCAGAGTCGTATTTGAGTGAAACTAGTATGGTTGAACTCGTAATTGAATGGGTAGACGGATTTTATGAGTATTGTCGAGTTTCGAGGAGCGGGCTCGGGTTGGGCTTTTTGGCCGAATTTGGGCTTTTGATTAAAGATTCGACCTTTTTCGATTGTGATTGGTTCATTTGGCATTGTTTGATGTATTTGAGTTGTGTTTTATTAGTTTCGAGTCATTCAGAGGTCGAAGCGCACGTGATGGGATTCTTGGAGCATCGCTTGGCTTACTCAGTATCGAAATTGGCTTGTTTAAGATAAGTAACTCTTCTAAACTTAGTGTTATGGGTATAAAATTCCTAATTATGTGCTATGTGATTGGTCTTGAGGTGGCGCACATGCTAGGTGACGGGCGTGTGGGCGTGCACCCTGTGAGTTGTGACTCTGTTGTTTCCAGGGCACTGAATAGTGGTCCTATTTTATTGATATTTGTGTTTTCACCATGTGATAAGATAAATGAGCTGTACATCATGATAGATATCATATTTAGGCTTTATGCTGATAATGTTGGGACCCATAGTGGTCGTTTCTTGCTACGATCTCATTGAATTCCTTGATATTTCGTACTCAGTCACACTCATGCATTCATATCATATCTCAGTCTCAGTTGTTACTTATTGATACATCATATCATTGTTCCGGGTCAGTTTTCATGACATTGTGAGCCGGTGGGTGAGACTAGAGAGATTGATGATTGAGTGAGGCCGAGAGCCCGATTATGAGTGACAGGTATGGGATCGGGCTGCACGCCGCAGCAGATTATTGATTATGCCTTTGTTGGCTTGTTATAGCGCTTGGGCTAAAGGAGCCCCTCTGGAGTCTACACACCCCTAGTGAGCGCGGATGATATTATTGAGGGATGGATTTCCCTGGATATGGATTTGTTCGAAGTACTTGATTACATTCAGGGATGGATCTTCCCTTGGTATGGAGATGGATCTTCTCCATGAGGCTGGATTGGCCTGTTTCCTCGGTATTGGGTGACTTATAGCAGTGATGTATTTATTCCAGGATGGATCTTCCCTGGGCCGTATGAGCCATATACAGTACCGAGTGGATGATTATGATGAGTGGAAGGTGTGATACAGTGAGGTTGAGTACTCTGAGAGTGTGCGTACATGATTCATCTATGAGATACATGACACTGGCATGCATATATGACATACATGCATAGAGATACATTTTCCTCATGTTGTACGGTATCCCGTCATTCATGACATTTTACACACATTGATATGTGGTCATAGAGAGGTATCTCACACTTGCTATCTGGAAAGAAAATGAAACATCTTATTTATTGTGAAAAGGGGTTTTGGAAAAGAAAATACAATTTTTTTTAAAACTATCTCATATTTCACGATGTTTTCGGTAAATAATTTGACTTTTCACTAATACTCTTGAAAGGCGGAACTATTTTGGAAAAACTGTGAAAAAGCTGAACACTTTATCTCTGAGTTACATCCTTATTTATATTCTTTACATTGTTATGAGCTATTATTGGATATTGGTGTTGGACCCGACCTATGTTCCAGCTCGTCACTGCTTTCAACCTGAGGTTAGGTTTGTTACTTTTTGAGTACATGGGGTCAGTTGTACTCATACTGCACTTCCTGCACATTGCGTGCAGATCTCGGATGCCGATGTTGCTGCGTTCGATGGTTGCTGGATTTGAAGGTGTACCTGCGTCCTTGATGTAGCTGTCTCTTGTTCATGGTAGCCTTAGCTTTATAAAACTTTGTTTATGTACTTTTCAAACAAAAGATGTATTTTCTTCATATCGGCTTTGTGAACTCTATTCTTAGAAGCTCATGATTTGTTCTACCAGTCCTTGGGGAATGTATAAAATTCAGTTAACTTCTCTATTTAATTGTTGGGTTGACTTTAATGGAATTGGATAATTATTAGTTGGCTTACCTAGCGGGTTGGGTTAGGTGGCATCACGACTAGTGGAGTTTGGGTCGTGATAATTCTCCACTGATTCATCTCCATTGTTGAACGAAATTTTCATTGTCGGTGGCCTGGGGCTCTGAATCAATGTCGAAATCAAGCCCTAGAATACAACCATTCCTCGGTTTGATGCGATTTTCCGGTTTGGTTGTACACCCCTACCTTGCCATTCCACCAAACTCCATCGAGATAAAAACACCCTTCTGGTAGTGCCATTGTGCCAACCTCCTGTTGCTCCGAATCAATGACACCATTGCATCAATCATTTTGTTATCATACTTGCTCCTATATCCAATCCAAAAAAAGCCATGTCAGCGAAGAAAATATGGGGATTTAGCATTAGCAAGTCTTATGTGATAGGTTTACGTTTAAGTTTCAATGATGACAATATTATCTTATGTTATATTTTCAGGACAAACAAAAAGGAAAGAATGAGGATGATTAGCAAGATTGCTACTGGATTCAAAATAAGGAAAGAATGAAGATTCAGTTTCTGCATTATTGATCAATCAAGAAGCAGATTGATTGCTACTGGATTCAAAATAAGGAAAGAATGAAGATTCAGTTACTGCATCAATGATAAATCAAGAAGCAGACTCGTCGTCAATCAAGGGATCTCTGGTTGCCAATCATGGTCACTCCAGCTTTGAAGATCGCGCTTGCGAATTAGTCTCTCCTTCAATTCAGCTGTGACAAGGAAGGTCACATTCAAATCTAGGCCAGTCAAAGAGCAAGATTCGAAGAGGCACCCCTTGGGTCAAATCCCTTAATTAAAGATCATGTGCCTCCAATTTCGAAAAGGACTCAACGGCTCTTTTCTCTTCTATAAGAAGGCTGCTCTCTCAAGAAGAAGAAGATCACGCAACTACACAAACTGTATTCCAAATCTGTCTACTTCTTAGTTCAAACACTGTAATTGTGAGTTATCAGTGTCTCGAAAGATAAAGAGATCTAGAGTACAAAAGAAAGTTGTGTCAACTGAGTAGAACTCAAGTGCTGATTCTGTATGTTGATGGTAAACGCAAAAAAAACCATCAATATTGTAACTTTGTTCAAAGATCTTAAGGGAACCCTTGTGACCCAAGGAAAACTGGATATAAGTACCACAACGGTAGCGAACCAGTATAAATCGTGTGTTCCTTACTATTTTTCTTTACTGATTTCACTCATTCTGTCTTGTGGTTAGTCAACCAATACTTATATTAGTCGACCAAATTTTAATAAGTCAATAATTAGCCCCCCCCCCCCCCTTGTAATTTCAATTGGTATCAGAGCGAGGCTCACAATCTTTGTTTTACCGCTAGTGAGAAGAAGATCAATGGGATCCAACATTGTTGCCAGTGCTCTCTTTCAAGAAGGAACATCTCAAGTTCGACCCCCTTACTTCAATGGTCAGCATTTTTCTCATTGGAAAGTTCGCATGGAAACATATACCATGTCATATGACATCAAAGTACGGCGTGTGATAAAAAAGGAAAACCTTCAAATTCCTCCCAAGAAGGATGCAAATGGTCAAGTCATTACATCAATTGATCCTCTGGATTTAGACGATTACACTGATGAACAGGCTGTTGTTATCACTGTCAATGCAAAAGCAAAAAATCTACTGTACAATGCTATCAGTGGAGAAGAACATGAAAAAATATCCAGTTGTGAGACTGCAAAAGAAATATGGGACATACTGGAAGTCACTTATGAAGGAACCAACAAGGTGAAAGAGACTAGAATAAATCTCCTGGTTAGGGAATATGAATTATTTCAAATGAAGGATGGAGAATCTATTGAAGAAATGCTTTCCAGGTTCAGTAAAATCCTTGGAGACCTCAAATCATTTGGAAGACCTATTAAAAGTGGCGAACATGTTAGAAAGATCCTCATAAGTCTACCTATAATCTGGCAACCGAAAGTCATCGCTTTAGAATGTCAAGATCTAGACAAAATCTCCTATGATGAACTCAGAGGTGATTTGATTGCTTTTGAGAAAACTCATCTTGACAGACAAATTCAAGAGAAAAAGAAAACTATTGCTTTCAAGGCAACTATGGCTGAACCTGAAAATGAAGATGAAGTAGAAGGAGGAGAACAAGATGAAAACATTGCAATGCTCTCGCAAGTTGTGACCAACATGATGAGGAGAAACAAAAACTACAGAGGAGGTAAGTCTAATTTCAGAAAAGGAAGGGCGAGCAATGAAACAGATAAAAATGATTGAAGATGTTACGAATGTGGAAAGTTCGGACATGTTCAAGCTTACTGTCCTGAATTAAAATGGAAGCTTAGCAGAAACGTGCAAAAGAAGAAATCTTTTGGAGCATGGAGTGATGACGAAGAATATGATCATGAGGAAATTGCCAACATGTGCTTTATGGCTCTTAGCAACGATGAAGAATCAGAGGAACTTGGACTAATGGCAGACAACAACGATGAAGAAGAAGATTCAAGAAGACCTCGTTCACCGTGGGATGAAGGAACTAGTGAGGTACGTACTCCTTTACTTTTTAAATTGTTATGAACTTCAAGAATTTGTTGATATTGCTCTTGCAGACACAAAAAGAGTATTAAATGAACTTAGAAAAGTCAAGAGAGAAAGAGAAAGAGAGAAGAAGTATTGGGCCCTGAAACTAGAAGTATGCGAAATTGAACGTGATATACTTCAAGAAGAAGTAAACGAACTCAGGCTTCAATTGAATGGTCTACAAAGAACCTCAAGTTCTAGTTCAGTCAAAACTGATCAGAACGTCCCTGTTAGAAAGAAAACAACGTGTTCCTTTTCTAGTAAAAATGGTCATAGCGCTAACAATTACAGGAACAGAATTAGAGCTGAAAATAATTCTGGCAACTTCAACAGCTCATCTTGCACCTACTGTGGTAAAAGAGGTCACACCTCAAATCATTGCAGGTTATTAACTGTTTGTGTAGCTTGGCAAGCCGTCCCTTATGGGTTGTTGAAGCCAGCCCCCTTTGTAGGGAAACTTTCATATCTATGATTTAGTTTGCTTTCTTGGAGTCTCTTGCTCCGTTCTTTATACTGTGGTATCATAGCCAGCCTATCCTTTCGGAGGGAGGAATAGTTTACTAAATATGTCTGAGTCATTTCCATCATCCTCTTCCCTTGCAAAAATGAATATGTCCCCTACTCTATATAAAACCTTGTCCAAAAAATATGATTACCTCTATGAAGTAGATATACTACCTGATGAACAAAAAGTATCCTCCACTGAACTACCCCTCATAAACCCTTACTCAGCTTTTGCCAAAAAATCCTTTGCACCCTGGACCCAAATTCGTTCCTTAGTCCAACACAGACCAAAAGGAGTTAAAGAATATCTTGCTGCCTCAAAACTTGACCAGCATCCTATTCTTGCCACTCGAGAGGAACAATTTATCACTCTTCAAATACCAGATGATTTTCCCAAACAATGGAGAGATCATGGTTTTACCCATATTCATTTTGGTGCTATCCGAATCGCTTTAACATACCACGGAAGAAAAGGTCAACCTGTCGTAGCTCGACTTTCTCTTCTAGATACAAGATATTTGGAGTACCAACATGCAAATTTGGGTACTTCAGAAGTTACCTTAAATGCCGGAACTGTCTTCATAACTATCTTTCCAAATTTCAACATGTCCCTTTATGACCCATACCTAACCGAAGCTCTAAAAATCCAAGGAGCCCCACAAGCAAAAGATTCCATCCAAGCTACTCTTCACCACCAAATAGCATGGCGAGTCCAAAATCATGCCATGGATCTCTGTCTCCTCGGAGGAGAAAATGCTTTACTCTTAAATATTGATGCTACCAAAGGGAACACCATGTGCACCCAAATACCCAGACAGATTTCCAGAGATGAGCTAGTCAAAATTCTTCCTGACTCTTGGATCACAAATTACGAAAAGCTAAGGGAACCTGAAGAACCTCTGCAATCTGGTGAACCAACTTTTACCAAAAGAAGTGACAAAACCGTTTGTATAAGCTTTGACCATTCCCATCTCAAAAAACCCAATAAAACCATCTTCTCTTGCCAAATGATTCAACCCAAAGATACCACAGATACATACCCAGAACCCAAATATACAAAGCATCATGGAAGAACATGACTGGTGCCAATATTTTGACAAAGAAGGAAAAAGAATGTGGTGGTTCAAATGCCCCTTCACTGGTCACTGCCCATGGGATCTTGATTGCACCTGCCAAGACTGTTTAGAAGATCCAATTGGAGAATATGATGAACATCACCAGCGCAAACCAAAATCCAAGAAAAAGGAAAAAGCTACTGAAAAACAATTTCGAGCCAAATATGAAAATAAAGATCCTTCAATTGGCTCATTAAGCTGTCCAGGTAAATATGAATTTCTTGTCAGTTATGAACCCCATGAATGGCCAAAATTACCAGAAAAATTCACTCCAAGTTGGGATGATAGTGAAACCACCCCAAAACCCAAACCACCATCAGCTCGTAACCCTGTATCCAAAAAGCAACCTGAACCTAAAACTCCATCAACCCAAAAGTATACACATCCGCAAATATTTATGATGAGTCCTTCAAGTTCCAGCCACTCCCAAGATTTTCCTCCACTTCAATCTTTCGGAAAAGAGGGCATCAGTCATGCCCCAAAAATCCCCAAGAAAAACATAGTACTACCTTCTGGAGAAAAACCCCCAACGAGTGACACTGAAGCAACAATAAATTGGCAATCAGAAAACTCCATCTGTCAAAACAAAGTCCTGAACATATTGGCAACACCATAAAGAATGTGGCCCATACACAGAACAAAATGATGAGCAAAGTGGAAACAATTGAGAAGAAAATGGAGCAGACATCGTCTCACCATGCCGGACTAATCAAAGCTTTGGAACTAAGGTTGGCAAATTTACAATATGAGATTTGTCCGCCAGGAACTTCACTTTTCCAATTTTTCCAACAACAACAAAAAGAGACGACTTCCATCAAGGAACAAATCCAACTTTTGAGAAATGAACACTTTGAGCCACAAAAACCCCCAGTTTTCCCTTCAAAGTCTACCTTCTTCCCTATGTCTCCACAAGTATATTCCCCGCCTAAATTGGACTACACCTTTTCTACCTTTCCATCTACCTCACAAAATCCAATCTCTTTCACCCAACTACCAAAAGAAGAACATGATTTTGATATCGCAAAAATGGTTTGGGAAAGGAAAGATGCTCTTGAAGCACAGAAACAAACCAAGAAAAGGCGAGACCAAGGAGAAAGTTCAAAAGGATCGAATCCCGAAAATCTGATGATTT